AGGAAAGGATAAACTGCCTGGGTCTCTTTTCTTTTTTTTAAAAAGGGCTGACCTAGTTGAGATCTTTAAAATTATGAATGGTTTCATACAATTCTCACAGATAAAAGGACAAGTGTTTCCACTTGCAGGGAAGAGGTGACGAGACACCATCAATATATTATAATTATCAAGATATCCAATAGGGAATTCACAAGAACGTCTTTACCCAATAAGTGTAGAGACTATGTAATGTGCAGCCACAGGAAGTGGTTAAAGTAAATGGTATATGAACACACGTGAGAAAGAAGAGAATCAAGGGTTAGAATAATAGTTTAGGAGAGGAATAAAAGGAGGAAGCTTCAATGAAGCATAAGTTTTGGTGTAAACCAGTTGAGCCCAATAGCCTGTTTCTGTGCTGTATCTCCTAAATGTCCTGTGAATTACAGGATAGACATGTTCCAAGGTACAAATAACGAGCAACTTGGACAAAATAGTAATGTGTAGAGAACAATTTTTGCTTAATCAAATTTAAACTTTAAACCATTAATGGCATGTGTTCACTTTACTTTATAGAATCAGACAGTGGAGAATGAGGTCACTCAGCCCATCAGCCCTGTGCCGAGTAGAGGTCCAGGCAGAGTGCAGTTACAATGACCAATTATTGGTTTAGTTACGGTCTCTACTTTGAATTTATCCCTAAGCACAGAAAAGCTAAAGAATAGTGTGAAAAATCCAGTTGACCCTCACATCTGTACCATTCACATAATTGTCCAACCTGTGGATCTTGGGATTATGCTAATGCGCACATTTGAATCATGTAGGAAAAAATATCATCTTTCTTTCTCCCTCTTCCCCTTTTTGCAGTGTTCAAGAGTTTGTTTCTCCCCACAGCCAGCCTAGCTATGTACAGAAAGAACCTGTTTACGAGGGGCAGTAAATGCCAAGATCCAAACTCAGCACTCTCTCTTCAGAAGTACAGCATATTCATTAATTCTGATGAACAAACTACAAAGTTCTAACCGAATTTTATTTTCTTGTAGTGTTTCTGGATTAATTTAAAATGTAGCTTTAATATTTACTTGCTATTTTCTTGCATTGCTGTGTTCTAGTTTATAAGTTTTTAGTCCAAGAAGTCGTGAAAAGAAAACATATTCATAATGTACAGAATGGATTTAATATATTAGAAAATATCGCCTTGCATTTTTCTAAGACTTTTTTTAAAAAAGGTTTTGTTTACTTTATGACATTTTCTGAATTACTAGCGTTTTTTGTGATTTTGACACTTTAATTATAAAACAGTCGAAGTATTTATAACACAGCAGGCCAGGCAGCATCAGAGGAGCAGGAAAGCTGACGTTTCGGGTTGGGACCCTTCTTCAGAAATGGGGCCCTATTTCTGAAGAAGGGTCCTGAACTGAAACATTAGCTTTCCTGCTCCTCTGATGCTGCCTGGCCTGCTGTATCCCTCCGTTTCCACACTGTGTTATCTCTGACTCCAGCATCGGCAGTTTTTACTATCTCAATTATTCTCTTTGTGTACCTTCGATACTTTCCATGGTTTCCTCATACATCATATTATACACATCAGGCTGAAATGCTTACAGACATTACAGAAGACAGGACTATATACCTGAGCATTACAGCATCTTGGCAAATGCTACTTATAAAAATGTGCCTGTGGGGTAGACACTTATTTTCTTGCCATCTCAGATATTTTCTTCTGAATGCTAATTTTGCACTAAGATATACAGTGAATATTGCAATTTCTGTTTTAGTTCATAATCAATTGGTAGACTTTATAAACATGTTGTGGCTTTTAAAATATTCTTAAACTCAGGATATATACAACATCTAATTGGAAAATTTATGCCTGGCATTTATATTCATACTTAACTTGGATTTGTCCAGAACAAATCAGTACAGTTCCAATTCCATTTTATCGTGCATGAAATGTGGTGAATGGATTTCTGTTAACTGGTTAATGTACTTCACAGCTAAGTTAATTTTGACATATCTGCCATGATTGCACTATTACATGAGCAACCCACTCCACCTTTTACATAAGGCTTTCTACACTGTTACTCACCAATGGGATTGGTTTACAGCCACATCCACTTTTAAAGTAAGGATCTACAGGGCTTGTTTGGTCTGGCATGGTAGAGGAAAACTGCTTAGTACCCTAATTTCTTAAACAAGGTATAGTTCTTTACATGTTGGAAATTAAGTACAGGTTACACAAATGTGATCAACATTGTTGCAAGGACTGTGAGAGGAATCTGGATGGTAGGTCTCACTCCTTTGAAATCTTATGTTATTCTCCAGTCAAGTCTATATAACATCTTTGTAGTGGATGGTGTTAAAGGTACTTCTCAATATTAACCCTTTTAGACCTTTGTACCCTTATACAACATGAAGGTGTTTATTAGAAGTGTACATATGTTGTAAATTTGGACTTTATGGTTTATTTTTAGTTTTGAATGTTTCACCAATGCAAACCACTTTTAGTTTTGAAGAAAATTTCTTTGGATTGACATGAACTAATTGGTGATAAGAGAACATTTCAGGGAAAAAACCTCAACTTTCAGACTGGAGGCCTGTAAACAGTGGTGTGCCACAAGAATCGGTGCTGAGGCCACTACTTTTCAACATTTATATAAATGATTTGAGTGTGAACCTATGAGGTATGGTTAGTAAGTTTGCAGATGACACCAAAATTGGAGGTGGAGCGGACAGCGAAGGAGGTTACCTGAGAGTACAACAGGATCTTAAGCAGATGGGCCAATGGGCCGTGAATTGACAGACGGAGTTTAATTTAGATAAATGTGAGGTGCTGCATTTTGGACAGGCAAATCAGGGCAGGACTTATACAGTACGTGGTAAGGTCCTGGGGAGTGTTGCTGAACAAAGAGACCTTGGAGTGCAGGTTCATAGTTCCTTGAAAGCAGAGTCGCAGGTAGACAGGATAGTGAAGAAGGCGTTTGAAATGCTTGCCTTTATTGGTCAGTGCATTGAGTATAGGAGTTGGGAGGCCATGTTGTGGCTATTCAGGACATTGTTTAAGCTGCTATCGGAATACTGCGTGCAATTCTGGTCTCCCTGTTTAAGGAAAGATGTTATGAAACTTGAAATAGTTCAGAAAAGATTTACAAGGATTTTGCCAGGGTCGGAGGGTTTGAGCTATGGGAAGAGCCCAAATAGACTGGTGCTATTTTCCCGGGAGTGTCAGAGGGTGAGGATGACCTTATAGAGGTTTATAAAATCATGAGGGGCATGGAAAGGGCAAAAAGACAAAGTCTTTTCCCCAGGTTGGGGAGTCCAAAGTGAGACAGCATAGGTTTAAGGTGAGAGGGGAAAGATTTAAAAGGGATCTAAGGGGCAACTTTTTTTCACGCAGACGGTATTGCATGTATGGAACGAGCTGCCAGAGGAAGTGTTGGAGGCTGGTACAACTTCAATATTTAAAAGGCATCTGGATAGGTACATGAATTGGAGGGGTTTAGATGGATATGGGCCAGCCAAATGCTGGCAAATGGGACTAGATTTATTTAGGATATCTGGTCGGCATGGACAAATTGAACTGGAGGGTCTGTTTCCATGCTGTATATCTCTATGACTTCATGACTCTAACTACTTTCAATGTCCGACGGTAAAGAAATAAAATGTCAACCACTCAAAATGCTGATGTATGAACATACTAAATTAACAGACAGGAAAAGATTAACTGATCCATCAAGCCTGCTTGATGAAAGCATGTGTTTGGTCATGATGGTCTAACTATATGATGGTAGACAGAGCAGCAAGTTTAAATACTTCATTTGTCTATTTTGCCCCCTCCCCCAACTTACTCCACAGCTGTGAAATCTTCTAGGAGACTCAAAAAACAGTAGAAAGTAGCCAACAAAATCTGAAATTGCTGGAAAAGCTCAGCAGGTCTGGCAGCATCTGTAAAGAGAAATCAGAGCTAACCTTTCACTTCCAGTGACCCTTCTTCAGAAAGTCCTGAAGAATTTATCTGCCAGCCCTGTTGAGCTTTTCCAGTTATTTCTGATTTTATTTCTGATTTTCAGCATCTGCAGTTCTCGATTTTTTTTGTTTAGTAGTAAATAACCCTTCAGAAAGTATCTTTGTGAACAATTGGTGAGGAACAGCTTGTGGTTTGCTATGATGCTGTCCAATGAGCATCCAGCTTGTCAATACTCACAACATGAACACTGAACATTGATGCTGGCCTTGGATGTGTACAAGAAATATGGACATTTTAAAAAGATAATTATTTCCGTTTCTTAAAAAGGCAAATGGAAAAATATTCTCTGTGCTGTAGGCTGAAATGAGAGATGTGCTCGGGAAGAATTTGTGTAATTTCTTTTTTTCCACGGGCACCATTAGCCAGGCCAACAGTAATTGTTCATCCGTAATTTCCTTTGAAACATTTCTGGTGCATTGTTTATGAACAAATTGAGAAGCGCTGTTTCATGGAACTTCGTAAAACTGTATTTACATGTTTGAAGCTACAAGGTTTGAGGACAGAACCGATCTGCTGGTATGTGTGGATGGAATAACGTTCCTATGGTATCACCTTTCAACATGATTAAATTCACAGAGTAACACATCTTAACATCAGACTGTTCCAGTGAAAATGTAGGAAGGAGCAGATAAGAACGAATGGATAACTTGATGCCCCAGTGAACTGTAGACAGTATCATTTCTTCTTCAAACGTTGGTACCTGGTTCTTTGACTTCTTTGTTTCTGGGCAGGACACTGAAAGTAAAAGTGCTTTTCATATTGTAATAAGTCTGGGAAGTGTGATTGACAGCTAGTCCTGTCCAGTTAGCCTAACATACTGCTGCTGTAAAGGTTTAAGAAAGTATTTAACGGAGATAATGGTGAGCAAAAGAGTTGCATCAAGGCATGTATTATGTGTGAGCAGTTCTTTTTCATTAGTGATCTGAGTACTCTGTATGTTTTTGACTAAAGCTGTAGTTAATCAAAGAGAAGTAATTGGTAGCTATTACTCTTGCAGGTGAAGAAAACACAGCCAGATTCAGATGTTACAGAGCCTCAGAACACCAGGTAATTGAACATTCCATGTTTTATGCATTTAAAGTGAACTGTACCATATAATTAATAAATAAAAACTGGTAAATAGTATTAGCATTTCCTGCATAGTTGCTTATGTAGAGGCATCAATTGCTTGAGAAATTGGTTCATTATTAAACTAAAACTGTGATCTATCATTACTTACAACCAAAATGTTTGCAGATGGAATGTTTTAAAGCAAGGCAATTATTAAAATAGAAGTGGGTTCATTGTTGGGAAAATTCTTGGAGTGATATTAGCGAATTCTAGGTTTTAACTCAGCCATTTTGACAATATTAAGAACAGGTATTCAAGCTATAGACGTAATGAGCAATTCGGGGTCCTGTAATTTTAATATTTTTCAAAAACTGTAAATTTTTAAAAGCTAACTTTTGACTTTTCATGGCATGCTAATAAAATTGAAATTTGTCTCTCACAGATGTAAATGAAATGAAATTTCTGTATTGTTTGTTTAATGTTTGAGATGTTCTATTAGGTTTGTGATTTTTCTGCATAGAACAAACAATTGACTAAAACAGTTCTGAAGAAGGGTCACTCAATTCGAAACGTTAACTCTGATTCCTCTCCACAGATGCTGCCAGACCTGCTGAGATTTTCCAGCAATTTCTCGTTCTGTAACTGGCTAAAACATATTAGGCCAAATTATTAAAATCACATGACTGAATGAAGATATAAAACAATAAGGTTTAAGAACAGTCTAATACCACATCTTATCCACAAATGAACGAACTCTAGTGATTGTTAAAATTTGGACCCTTTGCTAATGTAGTCTGATGAATAGTATGCCACTGTTCTCCGTAGTTTCTATCATTTTTGTTCCTTATATTTTACTTGGAATGGTTGCTTGTAAAATTTCTGTCAATTCAGCATCTGGCTGTGATGGAAGTTGATTTTTAAATAAATAAACTTTCAAAAATGTTTTTAGGTTTTACACAAAAAAGTAGCTTTAAATTGACATGTTTTTCGAACTTTCAGCATAAATACAATAGGACATATTTTAAGCGCAGATGTTAATATTGCCGAACTATGCAATTGAATGCAGATAAAAAGCAGTGCAAGCATGGAAATAAAATAGAGGATCAAGCATTGAAATAAAATAGAGGATCTTGTGCTGCAGTTATGGTATCCCTATCTCTGGGCCACAGTCTTGGCTCAAGTCCTGCCTAATCTACAGGTCATGACACGTCCAAACAGGTTGATTTTATTTTTCAAAAATGCAACGGAGCAATCGTTATTCATACATTCTATAATCCAAGCATAGTGTTTGCATACTAGATAAATTACACTGATTCAGTGGAAGTTATTGTTTAATTGTTGGTTTATCCATTGCACAACATAATGAGTATACTCAATTCAAAATCTTCAAAATTTGCTGTAATGTGCTACTAGCTTCACAAATTTACATAATAAATTTTAAATTTAGATTCAGTTGCAGAGTGAACGGCAAAGTGAGTTGAGATATTAGTTTTACTACTCGACTGTCTTTGTGGGAGCGGTATTCAGGATTCCTGATCCAAACAAACCAGTTCATTTATTGATCCTCAGCCTATAACGACCCTTCTCTTATTACATATATGCATTTGAAAATTGCTGCTGATATAGAGAATATGCAGCAGAGCAATTTTAATGGGTTGAGTATTGCGGATTTATTGCATTCTGTTCAAAGTAAATTTTATTCCACTTAACCTTTAGAATGCTAATGAAAGCATTTGGTATGTTAATTGAAAAGCAAAGCACCAGAAGTGACTAAATCATCCCTGGGTGGTTCAATTCAGTGAACTTCACAGAATTGTTATAGCATAGATGAGGCTTCTGTCCAGGTTCTCTGAAGTAGCAGTTTACCCAGTCCAACTCCCTGCTTTTTCCTGTAACCTTCATCCAAGGAAACTTCAGGCTGAATGTAATGCGTAGGCCATTTTAAAGGACGTTTTAAAAGTCTATCACTTTGACATTGGTCTGGAGTCACATGACCAGGTGAGAACGGCAGATTTCCTTCCCTAATGGACATTAGTGAACTTTTATGACAATTGGTGATAGTTTCATGACATCATTATTGAGACAGAATGCCAGAATTATTAACTGATCATCAGTTCACCAGCCACCGTGGCGGGATTGAATCCATCTCCCCAGAGTATTAGTTTGGGCCTCTGAATTAGTAGGCCTCTGACCGGGTCCTAAATGATATTGCCAAAAGACTGAGTCTACAGCAGGTGGTTAGGAAACCAACAAAATGGCAAACATACTTGGCCTGCACAGATGCATCTATCCATGACAGTATCCAGTAGAGACAAGGTTGCTCCTTCACATTAAAAATATATTGTGTTGCATGGCATTATCACCATGCTAAGTGTCATAAACTTTGAACAGATCGAGCAATTCAAAACTGGACATCCATGAGGTGTTGTGGGCCAACAGCAGCAGAATTTCTTTTATTCATTCATGGGATGAGGACGTGGCTGGCCAGGCCAGCATTTACTGCCCATACCTAATTGGCCAGAGGGCAGTTAAGAGTCAACCACATTGCCTTGGGCCTGGAGTCACATGTAGATCAGACCAGGAAAGGATGGCAGATTTCCTTCCCAGAAGGATATTAGAGAACAAGATGGGTTTTTCCAACAATTGACAATGGAATTATGTTCATCATTAGACTCTTAATTCCAGATTTTTTTCATTGAATTTAACTTCCACCATGTGTAATGGTGGGATTCAAACCTGAGTCCTCAGAATATTACCTGGGTCTCTGGATTAATAGTCCAGCGATAATACTACTAGGCCACTGCCTCCCCCATTATAATCCAATTATTCTCCCACACAATCAGCAACCTCATGGCCTGGAGTATTCCCCACTCTACCATTATCTTCAGGCTAGGGGAATCAACCTTGGTTCAATGAAGAGTGCAGTAGGGCATGACAAGAGTAGCACCAGGCATGCCTAACAGTGAGGTGTCAACCCGATGAAGCTGCAAAGCAGAACTACTTATGTGCCAAACAGCATAAGCAGCAAGATTTCATAACCAACAGATCAGATCTAAGTCCTGTAGTCCTGCCACCTCCAGTCATGAATGGTGATGAATAAATGAACTCACTGATGGAGGAAGCTCCACAAATATCCCCATCCCCCAGTACATTAAAGCAAAAAATAAGGCTAAAGCATTCACAGCAATCTTTAGCCAGAAGTACTGAGTCGATGATCCATTTTGGCTCCTCCAGAGGTCCCCAACTTCAGACATGACAGTCTTCAGCCAATTCAATTCACTCGATATGAAATTAAGAAATGACAGGAGGCACTGGAAATGACAAAGGTGCTGGATCTTGACAACATTCTAGCAATAGTACTGAGGACTTGTGTTTCAGAACATGCCACAGAAATCTGATCCAAACATCTTACATCTACACAAAAAATAGGACAAATCTTACCCGGCCAATTACCATCCCATCAGTCTACTCTCAGTGAAGGGAGGGAAGGTGTCATCAACAGTGCTATCAAGCAGCAACTGCTCAGTGATGGTAAGTTTGGGTTCCACCAGGGCCACTCAGCTCCTGACCTCATTACAGCCTTGGTTCAAACATGGATAAAAGAATTGAATTCCAGAGATGAGGTGAAAGTGACTGCCCTTGACATCAAGGTTGTATTTGACTAAGTGTGGTGTCAAGGAGCCCTAGAAAAACTGGAATCAATGGGAATTGGGGGAGGGGGGAGTCTCTCGGCTGGTTGGAGTCCTCAAAGAATTCTAACAGATTTGACCTCCCATTGGCGAAGCCATGCTGACTCTGCCCCATTTTTGATTGTTAATAATGGACTGTAAAGTCCAGCAACTGGAGCCAGGCTAACTGACCTATAGTTTCCTGTCTTCTGCCTCCCACCCTTCTTAAAGGAGGGTGAAATATGAGCCATTTTCCAGTCCTTCGGGACTCTCCCTGACTCCAGTGATTGAAAAAGATCACTACCAATGCTTCCACAATCTCCTCAGCTATCTCCTTTAGAACTCTGGGATGTAGTCCACCTGGTCCAAATGATTTATCCACCTTCAGACCTTTCAACCTCACATCCTTAGTAATGGCTATTACATTCACCTCTGACCCATGACTCTCTTTAAATTCTGGTATGCTGCTAGCGTCTTTCGCTGTAAAAACTGATGTAAAGTACCCATTCAGTTCCTCCACCGCTTCTTTGTTTCCATTACTACTTTCCCAGCCTCATTTTCCAGTGGCCAATGTCCACTCTTGCCTCTCTCTTATCTTTTAGTTGTCTAAAAAAGATTTTGCAATCTTCGTTTCTTCTACTAGCTAGCTAAATCTCATATTTCATCCTCTCCCCACTTATTGCTTTTTAGTTATCCTCTGCTGGTTTTTCAAGGCTTCCCAATCCTCTGGCTTCCTCCAATCTTCACCACATTGTATACTTTTCCTTTTGCTTTAATGCTGTCCCTAACTTCCCTCATCAGCCATGGTTGCCTCATCCTCCCCTTGGTATGTTTCTTCTTCCTTGGGATGAATTTTGGCTGTGGCCCCCAAATTATTCCCAGAAACCCCTGTCATTACTGCTCTACCATTTTCCCTGGCCAGCTTTTTCCTCATGTCTTTGTAGTTACCTTTACTCAATTGTATTACCATTACATCTGATTCACTCTTCCTTGTCTCAAACTGCAAAGTGAATTCCATCATGTTATAGTCACTGCTCTCTTGGGGTTCCTTCATGTTAAGCTCCCTAATCAAGTCTGCCTCATTACACATGACCAAATCCAGAATTGCCTGTTCCCTAGTGGGTTCTACTACAGCTGCTCCAACAAAACCATCTCACAGACCTTCCACAAATTCCTTTTCTTGAGATGCACTGTCAACCTGACTTTCCCAGTCCACCTGCATATTGAAGTCCCCCCTGATTATTGTAATAGTGCCTTTCTTACATGCCTTTTCTATCTCCTGATTTATTTTCTTCCCCACATCCTGACTACTGCTGGGAGGCCCGTTCA